AGGGGTTGTGATGATAGCGGGAAGGAATCAACTCTATCGAGTCCACTCCCTCTGTTTAAAGGAATAGTACACCCAAAACATGTTTAGCCTTCATTTTCTACTCACCCCCATGCTGAACAACACTCTGGAGTACTTTTTTGATATCTCAAATGCATCTGGAGATCTGGGAGGCTTCTTTCTGTCTGCTGACATTCAAATAATGGAGGTCTATGGTGCCCGAGGCAGAAAGGTCCATAAAAGTCCACAAAAAACGTGTCAATATTCCTCCATACTGCTCGTCCAATGTATTCCAAGTGTCCTGAGTGGGTAGCTTCCAGAATTTACTCGAAACGAAGTCATTTAGAATGTTTTTAGAGCATAAACAGTAGTGTATAGGATTTCCTAAAAGCATGTTCACGGGTCTACGGAAACCGCGGCAGACTTAACCAGATGAAAGTGCGCATTCAGCGTCTGCTCTGCCGATAATGCAAGTGTAGAAGAAGAAATGTGCTGTTTACCTGCGCAAAGAAAGAAACAACGAAAGAAGAATGTCTGAGGACTTCAGTGTTGAGGAAGAGCATGAGTTCTTTGCTGAGCTGAATGCGCACTTTCATCTGGTTTGGTCTGCCGCGGTTTCCGTAGACTCGTGAACGCGCTTTTAGGAAATCCTATACACTACTGTTTATGCTCTAAAAACATTCTAAATGACTTTGTTTCGAGTAAATTCTGGATGCTACCCACTCAGGACACTTGGAATACATTGGACGAGCAGTATGGAGGAATATTGACACGTTTTTTGTGGACTTTTATGGACCTTTCTGCCTCGGGCGCCATAGACCTCCATTATTTGAATGTCAGCAGACAGCAAGAAGCCTCCCAGATCTCCAGATGCATTTGAGATATCAAAAAAGTACTCCAGAGTGTTGTTCAGCATGGGGGTGAGTAGAAAATGAAGGCTAATCATGTTTTGGGTGTACTATTCCTTTAAGGTTGGTTTTTCTTTCTTAACATAGATCACTTGCTTTCTTCATGTCCTTCTCAAACCACTTGTTTTCTTTTTCCAAAATGTGAACATTCTGGTCCTAAAAATAATGTCCTTTAGGTTTTATTGAAAAAGCTTCCTGGATGGGAAGCGAAACGTCTTCAGACTTGGAAACAAAGTCCAGTGGATGGAATGAACATGACCTGGATGACTGAGAATCTTCACCAGCATTTTCCAAGCTAAAGTTGGATATTAGTTCCGATCCCTGCAGACAGCGTGGTGGTTTTACTTTGGTAGTAGTTGCTTTTCTGGATTGTTTCATTAGTGCCATCCCCTCCACCAAACAATAAAATGTGACTTTCTCATCTATCTTTTTAAGGGCCTGTCTGCCTGTGGCTGTTTTTACACCCCTGCCCTTCATCGCCCTCTTCCTCCTGTGTTCCTGCAGCGGGCGTTCCGCCTGAAGGTCAGGGTGGAAAACACGTTGCAGAATGTGACTATATTTACTGACATATATTCCATTGCACATCAGATACAGCATGAGGGGTTTTTCACAAGCCAGACTTTCTCAGTACTGGCTCCTTCACTAAGATGGGGGCAGGGGGGGATCTTCAGCCTTTTATGGCAGAAATGTAGCACCACAGTTATGCAGCTGTTATGCTGGTTGCTGTCCATGCGGGACTTGAATTTCCTCAGGTGACTTTAAAGCCTGTAATCCTCTATTAGGAACCGGGTCTATTTTTATGTTTCTATCTGTCGCGTTTCATCGACATGCTTTGTTTGAGAAACTTTCCATTGCTTCTTATCAAAGGAGGTTTGAAAAAATATAACCAGAGATCTTATTAACTAGTTACAGTAACTTTTGACATCCAGATACTTTAAGAGGTTTAACTCCACCATACTTTCTTCTTAGCTGAGAAACAAACACGCTCGTTTTGAAATAAAGGGCTCCAGATAGTCAATTTTTAAGTCAAATTTTTGTACTCAAGCCTTTATACACATACCAGGACATCTGGCGATCAAGTTAATATGAAGGAAACAGTATGTTTTTGGAGTTATAGGTTTTGTTTGGTTTCAAAGTTTTTTCCTTTTTTTTTCTGCCTGAAAAATATTTTTTAACTGCATTATTTTTTTGTTATACTCATGCATGTGCTTCCTAGATTTCCTCTTCTCAGTGGTCAGGTCTAATATAATCATTTAAAATGAGCTTTTATCCCAAATAAGCCTCATGTTTGTCCTCATATTTTTTACATTTCTGGATTATCAGGATCATTTATGAAAGGGCTTTTTTTTCCCATTGATTGATAGATTGGTTTTATTGATCTCACAGTGGAGAAATGTACTCGTCACATCAGCTCAAATACTCAAAGAAGAAGGTGCCAAAGGAAGAAAACGGTGCATGGGATACATACAGTATATACAGTGCGTCCACATGTGCCATGAATCATTTATGTTCCCTTTGTTTTATCGACATCCCTGAAAACCGTCTCTCCAACAGATCAGAAATTAACTTAGATTGGAGTAATAGTTTGATATTTAGGTCTGGTTTATGACTGGTTATAATTCCCCATTGTCTGATGTCCCACTCGTATTGAGTCGTACAAAGAAATATACATAAGGTCAGAATTTGAGCTATAAGAGCTTGTCATAAAACGGTGATATTTAAGTAATAGCCTAGTTTAATAATATATTGTACATAAGATTAGGGCTGGTAATAATTCAATAACGATATATATCGATCGATAGACGTGTGGCGCAATTGAAAAAAAGAGGGTTGATAAAAGTTCGATAAAAGAAACGCAGTTTTCCTTCCTTCTCATTGTAGCCTAGCATGTAGGTTTATGCTAGTCACTACTTCCTCCCAACCAATCACAATCGTGGACCCAGGCACGCCGTCACAAAGCGCCGCCCTCTCAAACCACAACACAGAGCACATGAAGATGCAGCAAGGAGAGGCGGAGGAAATTGTTCCAAAGAAAGGTTTTTGTAGTTCGGCAGTCTGGCAGTATTTCGGTCATGGCAAGTCGGACAAAAAACAAACCACAGTCATCTGGAAAATGTGTAGAGAACCAGTGGAAACCAAGTCTGATAACACAACCGACTCTTTTTTTTTTTTATCATCTCAGCCGCTCACACCCGCAGGAGTACGAGCTGTGTAGGCCCCGACGCGGCTCTCCGGAATCTTCGGGAATTTCGGGAAAAAATATATATTAAGTTCTGGGCAGTTTCCCACGTAGTTCTAACGATTGAGAGAAAAATGCTGAGGGGCCAGAAACTTCAAAGTAATAACTCAGGTTAAAGCAGGAAACGGGGGCGGCGGTGGGGGGGCATTTATTTATTTGTTATATTTATTTTGGTCAATTTTCTGGTCACTTTAGTTTATTCTTTGTCAGTATTTAATAACATAACTCAGGTCTCTTAAGTTATTTTTCTTTAAAACAATGGTTAAAAAAGTTGGTTAAATAAATATTTAATTCGAAGTCTGTGTTTGTGTGCTTTATTAAAATTAAATTATTTAGCAATATTATAAAAAGTCCTGGCAGAGCTGCACATAAAATATGGTTTCAAATCTTTTCAATAATTATCAATATCGATCAACATGAATTTTTTTTTGTCGATAAGCTTTTTTTCTATATCGCCCAGCCCTACATAAGATACTGTATATATATGAGTCACCTTAAAGGAAAAGTCTGGTCACATTCAGAATAGAAACATCTGAAAGTTCTTTAAGTATGAATTTTATTAAATACTTTTCAATAAATGGTAAGTGATTTTAATTAAGAGTAATTTTCATTTGAATGTTCTTTACTGGAGGCATCCATGTTTGTCAAAGAACACTACTGCCACCTACTGGTTTGTGACGTCACGGTGCGGTATCGGCTGTTGATCAAGTCCCAGTGCTGTATCTGGTGTTTGTCACAACGCGCTATTATCCAAGTCATCTTGAAAGCATTCTTCTTCCAAATGTTGGCTACATATTACGGGTTTTTTCTCTGGCCAGAAGTTCGATTTCAAGTTGGCAATCCAACGACCAAGCCGTCCGTGGAGGATCAGGAATCAGGTGAAATAACTTTATTTTTCACTTTTACCCGATGTATTCCAGCTCTGGTGAATTTCAATGGTGAAGTCCTCTGGAAATCTTCAATAATTGTTGTTGATTGCAGATGTGTCTAGTAGTTCCCATTGATTTTGCTTGTAAAGCGGGGAGAATGGCGCTAGGCTTACCGCACCGTGACATCACTGCCGGAAGATTGCAGGAGGGAGGGGTTACTATATTCGGGCTAAAATGGCCGCTCCAAAACTCAGTGATCGCGAAGAAAATTATTATTTTCTTACTGATTACCGCTAAATTCAGTAAATCACTGCCAACTTATTAGTTTTATGTATAAATAATGATCCATTGATCATTCCTTACTGACCGGGCTTTATTCCTTTAAATCTCTCCTTGGTTTTTTACCATCCTCTGCATATATCTGCACTGCACATACTTCATGCACCTTTTCCTCCTTTGTGCACCTTAATTAATTAATTCCTCCATCATGATATCAATAAAGTTCTATTCTATTCTAGAAATCTCTGAAATCATTATTCAACTGAACAAAAGATGCCACTTAAAAACCAGCCTATTCCATTCATCTCTAGTAATGAAACTGACAAAGCAGCTAAACAGGCTAGTGTGACCATTGGTGTTTTCTGCAGGATCCTTTATAAAGATGCAGCTGTAACTAAATCATCCGTTTTAAGGCATTAAAGTGAATGTTTTTAACATGCTTTAAATAGGTTTTTTGTGTTAAACTGCTGGGTTTTCATATCTGTCAGTCACACAAAACAACTGACTTCACACCTTTAAGGTTAGTAGACAAACAGGAAGTTTTTTGGGAAACTGAAGTATGAAGGTGAAGATCGTTTTAATATCTGCTGATGGTTTGTTGATCTTTACACCTAAAATGAACTTTAGGTTCATTGTTTTTTTATTTCTTTTAGTGTTTTTTTTCTGAATATTTTTAAGCTCTTGTCTACAGTTTCCTTGGTGTTTTACCTTTGGTCTGTTGGCTTGTTTTTTACTTTGAGCTTGTTCAGCTTTTGAGTCGCTGTTGTCGCTTAGCCCCCCTTCTTCTCCAAGTCCGCTGTCCTCAGTGTCCACACTGCTGTCCCTGGAGGTCAGCTTCCTCTCCTGAAGCAACATCTTCTTGTTCTGGATGATGCCTACTCCTCCCGCTTCTGCACTCTGCAGCGCCCTCATCTGACGACGGCGTGTCGGCGACTCATTTCCCAAAAACGGCTTGCTGTCCTCCAGACCGGACTCCATCTTGTCGCGGATTTCGTTGACGACCTTGCTGCTGCTACACTCGCTTCGTTTCAGCTGAACAGTCTTGGTCACAGAGCCGGTCCGGATCTGATTTTCTCCGCCTTCGTTGGGATCGGCTTTAATAACCTTTGGAGTGACGCTTAGTTTAACCACATGGTCTTTTCTGTCTTCTTCTTCAACAGATGAAGGCATCCACCCACTTGGGATAGAGTCTTGTTTTCCTGCGTGTTCGTTGGCCCATCCTTGCCAACTCTTCGCCAGGTTTGCCACCATGGCAGCACATTTGATTTTACGTACAGCCCGTTTAAACAGCTGCGGCTCCTGAGAGGAAACGGTAGTTGTGTCGCCTCTACTCATCTTGACGAGAGGATTGCTGGCCTCTTTACTCTTTTTTACGTTTCCTGGCTACCAAGAAAAGCTGATTTAATGTGGACGCTCGCAAAGACCGAGGTGAAGTCTTGTAGGTGGTCTTTCTGCTTCTTGTGTTGTTGATAGTTGATAATATGAAAGAAATCTCAAAAAATATAAAACTGTTCTTTCAAATTGTTAAACAAAAAACGGATGATGCAGAAACTGCATGTGAAAAGAAACTTTGCTCTAAATATCCAGATCAGAGTTCCCAAAGTTTGAACTTTCCTGACAATCCTGCCAACACCTCAGCGTTTTTAAAAGCCTTAACGAAGCTTTACAGAAACATCCAGAGCCTTCCAGATGGTCCGGCGGGTCAGTGGGTGAGCTGCCGGCGTGAAGGGTGCACGGGTTTTGCTTTTAATCTCCTGCTGAAGCCCCTCTGGCACCGCAGTGGCCTTTAAATAGCGAATGGTCGTAAAGGAAGTGATGCTGCGCGGCGTCCATGTGAGACATAGGAGTCTGGTGACAACATTCCTGTTGGTGACAGACCAACACACACACACACAGTTACCGAGGAGTGGAATTTTTCCCAGTGGAGTTCAGCTAACAGGTGCCCGGTGGGTTTAGTAACCCCCCGTTTTCTGTCTTATGCATAAACAGGATGAATCACTGAGAAGTTTTCTCTATGAGTTCACCTGCTGTGCAGAGCAACACGACATAACCAAGAATGACTTTACTGTATTTATTTAGAGAAATGCTCTCACACAAACATACGTCACTTTTGTTGCATGAAAGGTATGTATGAATGTAGTAGCTGTACTCTGTGAGGATGGTCACAAACATAGAAAGCAAGAGGAATGTTTCTCTACATGTCTGTTCATGTAAAGCAGAAGTTGTATAATTCTCTGCCTTTGGTGTCCTGATGTGTCTGGTACAGGTAAGAGTTTTACGGATTCAGTCTTATGGTTTAATATGTGTTCGCTCTAAAGGCATGTTTGGAGGCTAAGGTAAAATATACTCATTTAAAAAAACTTTACCTTCAATACTGCTCCAATGTAATCTTGGTGGAAGAAAAGGAATCAGATTATTTCATGACCACTTCATGTTAGTGTTGTTGTCAATGTTCTTAGATGGGTTATTTCGGAAAATCTAAATTTAAGATAACTATTCAAAATACAAAAATATCTCTATTTCTGATTCTTTCCAGTTCAAGAACGAGACCAGACCTTCTCATGTGAAGACTGAATCATCCCAGACCAAGTCCAAGACTGCATCCTGTCATGTCGAGAACAAAACCAAGACTATCTCTACATTAAGGCCCCGTCCACACGAAGTCAAAACGAACACGAAACGCTGATATTTTCCAGAACGTTTGTCGTAAAGACGGAGACGTAAAATAAATGTGATCGTCCACACGAATGCATGAAAACGCTGCAAAATGTATGCCAGGCCTGTAAGTGGCGCTGTGGTGCCAAAGCAAAAATAGGCGACGAAATGTTGGGCATGCGCACTAATATTTATACATGGTTGCCCTGCGGGTCCATTTTCGTGGTTCAGTCAAATTAGAGCCATGACACATCACTGTGACCTGTACTCTCAGGTGGGATGGCCTTCCCCTGTCTATCAGAAGGCATTGGTACACGTTTATTTCCAAGGACCTTCTTGGATTACTGCCCTCTTACATTTGTACCTTACTCACACAGAAAAGCATGGCTTCTTATGCCCTGAAATCCAACAATCAGCTGTTGTTCACTGTTTCTTTTTGCCTTTAGTTATGCAGCTCCTTGTGTGTGGATTTTATTTATTTTTTTACAAAGAAAGTAGTAGTTGACTGAGTTTTTTTCCATAAATGCTTTTTAAGTTGAAAGTGAAATAATTTGAAGCAGCCTCAATTATCTGTAATTGTTTTACTTGATATGTTTTTTTTTATGTAACTGTCATTTAATTTAATGTATCTACATTAAATTAATGTCAGGACTCCCTTGAAAAAGAGGTTTTTAATCTATTGGTTTGGATGGGATTTTTTCCCCTAGTTAAATAAAGGTTAGATTTTAAAAAATGACCAAAATTGAAGCCCTCCAGGCCAAAGCTGAAGCCAAATTATTAGAATTAGAACAATATATTAGGAAATTGTTCTTTTTTCAAAAAAGAAATTCAAACCTAAATGAATAAATAAATACAAGGATTGTTAAATACTTAACAAAAGGGAATATTAAAGGAGACCAGTCACATACAGTAGTATAACTATAGGAATTTCTTCCCTTGTACAGTAGCAGCCATTCAAAATGGCTCTTCCCAGTGGCCAGCTGAATGGCAGCGTACTCCCCTGCGACTCCCAGCAAAATCCCCTCCAACTTCCAGCCACTGGCCTTGTCCTGGGCATGGGTGTTTTTTTTTAACTCTGACTCCACCCTTAAACTGAATTACAGGGTCTGACCAGGAGATGACGCTTCTCTTTAGATCTTAATGTCCAAAAATCATGACAGAAAGAATATTTTGGTACAAATACTGATGCTTAAAAAGGAATTTTAGGGGACCAGCCAAGGATCCATTGCGAAAATGGGGAAATTTTGACTGGCTACTACTGTAGCTCATTATGGTTACATACACTCACCGGCCACTTTATTAGGTACACCTGTCCAACTGCTCGTTAGCACTTAATTTCTAAGCAGCCAATCACATGGCGCCAACTCAGTGCATTTAGGCATGTAGACATGGTCAAGACAATCTCCTGCAGTTCAAACAGAGCATCAGTATGGGGAAGAAAGGTGATTAGAGTGACTTTGAACTTGGCATGATTGTTGGTGCCAGAAGGGCTGGTCTGAGTATTTCAGAAACTGCTGATCTACTGGGATTTTCACGCACAACCATCTCTAGGGTTTACAGAGAATGGTCCGAAAAAGGAAAAAAACATCCAGTGAGCGGCAGTTCTGTGGGCGGAAATGCCTTGTTGATGCCAGAGGTCAGAGGAGAACGGCCAGACTGGTTGGAGCTGATGGCTTGGGTAGTTCAGAGGCAGAACAAGGGCAAAAGTGACTCAAATAACCACCCGTTACAACCAAGGTGGGCAGAAGAGCATCTCTGAACGTACAGTACGTCGAACTTTGAGGCAGATGGGCTACAGCAGCAGAAGACCACACCGGGTGCCACTCCTTTCAGCTAAGAACAGGAAACTGAGGCTACAATTTGCACAAGCTCATCGAAATTGGACAATAGAAGATTGGAAAAACGTTGCCTGGTCTGATGAGTCTCGATTTCTGCTGCGACATTCGGATGGTAGGGTCAGAATTTGGCGTCTACAACATGAAAGCATGGATCCATCCTGCCTTGTATCAACGGTTCAGGCTGGTGGTGGTGGTGTCATGGTGTGTAGAATATTTTCTTGGCACTCTTTGGGCCCCTTGGTACCAATTGAGCATCGTTGCAACACCACAGCCTACCTGAGTATTGTTGCTGACCATGTCCATCCCTTTATGACCACAATGTACCCAACTTCTGATGGCTACTTTCAGCAGGATAATGCGCCTTGTCATAAAGCTGGAATCATCTCAGACTGGTTTCTTCAACATGACAATGAATTCACTGTACTCAAATGGCCTCCACAGTCACCAGATCTCAATCCAATAGAGCATCTTTGGGATGTGGTGGAACGGGAGATTCGCATCATGGATGTGCAGCCGACAAATCTGCGGCAACTGTGTGATGCCATCATGTCAATATGGACCAAACTCCCTGAGGAATGCTTCCAGCACCTTGTTGAATCTATGCCACCAAGAATTGAGGCAGTTCTGAAGGCCAAAGGGGGTCCAACCCGTTACTAGCATGGGGTACCTAATAAAGTGGCCGGTGAGTGTACAAATACTTTCTGAGTGAATTATAGCACTCTTTCTTGATATTTCTTGACTCTTTTTTTTGTTGTTGTTCTCTTTGTTGGTAAACTCAAGAGTTTTGAGTATTTACCAGAACAAGACCGTGTGACCTGAGGCAGGATAAGGCAAGAGAAAATGGGACTACTTCACAGCTCAATTCCTGACTATTACGGAAGATTTTCCCATAAATTATTTATTACAATGAATGTTACCTGGCCTGTTATGGCTTTATACGTACAGCCAGAAAGGTCCTGGTTGGCAACTAGCTAAGCTAAAGGCTTCAGTGAGCAAGCACACATGCACAGAAGCTGTCTGGAGTGGACTTTGTTAAAGGAATAGTACACCCAAAACATGATTAGCCTTCATTTTCTACTCACCCCCATGCTGAACAACACTCTGGAGTACTTTTTTGATATCTCAAATGTATAAAAGTCCACAAAAAACGTGTCAATATTCCTCCATACTGCTCGTCCAATGTATTCCAAGTGTCCTGAGTGGGTAGCATCCAGACTTTACTCGAAACTAAGTCATTTAGAATGTTTTTAGAGCATAAACAGTAGTGTATAGGATTTCCTATAATTCAATTCAATTCAATTCAGTTTATTTATATAGCGCCAAATTCACAACACATGTCATCTCAAGGCACTTTACAGTTCAACCAGATCATACAGTCAAATTGATACAAAGTTTTCTATCTAAGGAAAACCAGTTGATTGCATTGACTCATTGACTCAAATACAATCCCCCACACTAAGCATGCTTGTAGCGACAGTGGAGAGGAAAAACTCCCTTTTAACAGGAAGAAACCTCCAGCAGAACCAGGCTCAGTGTGAGCGGCCATCTGCCGAGGCCGACTGGGGTTCAAGGAGACAGAAGCAGAGATACAAAAAGCAGCTGTAAAAGGCGGCCCCGTCCAGGAAACACACAGCCAGGCAGACGAGCTCCAAGGCAGCTCCCATGCCAGAGGACGAAGAGAGCACATCCACTCAGTCACAGTCAGAGAAACAGGACCACACTGGAAAACAGGCCGATCTCCAACATCTATAAACAAGGGTGTTGATAGAAGCAGCACAGCTGATGTTTCTTTCCAGGATGACGTCACAGCCAAACAGGAACAGACGAGGCAAAGCTACTCTGAGGAAAAGCAGAGAGAGCAAAAGGTTAGAGATTGAACTAACAGATTCTGTAGAATAGGAGAACAGAGAGAGAATGAAGCAGAATGATGAAATGGGGGTCCCTATGTCCTCCAAAAGTCTAAGCCTATAGCAGCATAACTATAGAGATAGCTCAGGATAACCTGAGCCACCCTAACTATAAG